CAATAAAATGAAGCAGCTTGCTCAACAAACAATTATGATTTAAATAACAAAATAATACAACAACTTTAACTGTTTAAAAATCATTAAGCCCCTTAGCAAAATTTAAATCAGATATTTTTACAGTTAAATATATCAAGTAGTGAATATTGTTTGTATTATTTATATATGCGCCATCTGTGCTATTTATAATTAATTTGGTATTGTTAATTAAAAGTGATGTAACTGATTGGGCTTCAGATTACGAATTGAATAAAAAGTTGTAGAATAGAGAAAATAGTTTGAAAAAGAATTCAATCGTAATTCACATGTCCCAAAATTAAGTAAAAGACTATTTGTTGAAATCTCTCATATTTAAGTTCTTAAATGTTTTACCTTGAAGGTCAGTTCATATTTCGTGTTGCGAATTTGAATTTAAGCCTCATTTACATACCTTTAGAAATTAATTTATGCGAGGGATGCTGATGACATTCAGATTGAAATTGGCTCAGGTACTCACTGAAACCATAACCTTTACATTATGAGTTGAAAAGAATGGAAAATAAAATCAGTTCTCAGTTGCTCATCACGTTGCGAGCGACTGATAGAAAATCAAAATGAACTGAATGAAAATATTCTGTTTAATATCCAACAAAATTATTAAATACCGTATTTGCATTTTGGCTTGATTATGCAAAAGGTTGAGCAGCAGACTCTGCATATTTGAATGTTGTTGATTTTGTTTTGTAGTGGAATTGTTGTAGCCCCAGGAAATTCAGTGACCCCTGGGGGTATTTCCCAAGTGGTTGCATATAAATCAAGCAAAATAATTATGCGAATCTGCAGGACATTACATTATCTGTTTCTGGTCTCTTCCGCAATGGTTTTTATCTCGCCGCTCATTTTTATTACTGCGAACCAAATATTGACCCACCCACAGGCACAGTTACCGCTGCTGCTGCTGGTGTTGCTGCCGCCGGAACAGCTCATAAATAAGTTCCAACGTCGCCAAAACAAAACATTTTTCATCTGGCTTTGGGCTCAGTTCGGTCGTCTGTCGGCATGTGCTCTGGGAATATTTCATAAATTTCAACGATGGCCCCAAACTGAACCGGTGCTCTCCGACAGGCCAAAATAGTATTGGGCTTTGCTCTGGCAATTCGTTAGTTATTTTTTGGGGCTTCATCACGCTTGGACAAAGGAGTGATAAAGGGGAGCGGAGCGGTTGAATGGTCGGTAGAATGGTCGTTAGACCTCGCTCATAAGACTCGTTGACTTTTGGTCGACTGCACTTTGTCATCGGGTGAGCATTTCTCCCATATTTTAACAATTACACACCCCACCCACTAATGCCCACACACTTGTTGTTGTTGTTGTTGGTATGATTGTAATTTCAGCATGGTTTTCCCTTGTTTTCTCACTGTTTTCCACTTATGTGCTTCGCCTTGCGACTTGTACCGCCTTGCGCCTTTGATTGCTGGCGTTAACAATGACCCTCTGAATAATTTAAGCCCGCTCGTTTTTTATGTCAAAAGAGCAGCCGGTTGCGTAAACAGTAAGCAAAATGTGTTGGCTTTTGGCGTGTGGGCAAATGTACAGTGGTTCTTATCCGCAGCTAAAATACTACTTAATCTAAAATTTTATCATTGAACTTCTTTTAAAACATTTCAAACATATTAAATTTACAAGAAAAATTGCCAATGCTTTCAATTTCAGTTCGAGTTCAATTTTATATAGCTTATATGTGGATAAATTAAAGTTTGGCAAACGTTTTATGACTGTAACAATAGTTTTACTACTCCTTTGGGTCAACTTTTGTGTAATTTATCGAATATTAAATATCAGTAAAAACCAGAAAATATATTACTTTAAAAAGCTGATAGTTTAACCAAATAATGTGCAAAAGTAGTTGAATGAAACTTTATCAGTCACAGTGAGCGTGGTCCTCTTTTAGTATAAGATCTATTTTGTTTGACGAATTGAAAAATATATTTTAATAATAGTTGCTTTCAGAATTCAAAGCACAAATTCATCGACATATGTTACTAATTTAATATTTTCCTCCATATGCGAAACTGGAGTGCGTCATAAAGCAAAATATTTGATATTTGGAGGCAGACAGGATGGAGCCCAAGCTGTGCACACCTCCGGTACGGTTGGGTTCAGAAGAGTTCAGCTCAGGTTTGTGTTTTATTATTGTGTGTGTGTTTTTTTCCTCGGTTGCTTGTTGGGCAACATGTCAGGCGCAGACAGGCGACACCATCAACAGCAGCAAGAGCATCCGAAACAGCTTCGGTGACAGAGGTCAACCGACATGTGCCCATGTGTATGGCCCAGAACATGTGGGTTGCCGTATCTCGGTGTGTGGACTCATAATTTATGAAGGTAAACAAACCATTTCGAACCCGGTCGGGATGGGACTGACCCAATTGGTTCGTGTTGCGACTCAGCACTTTGCTTTAGCTCGGCATTAAGGGATTGGACACTTGAGAGGCGTGGCGTTGCTAAACATTTTGGAATTGCCTGGCGCACCACAACCTGTGGCAGAATTTGGCTTGAAACTTTGGCACATTCTCAAAATTAGCAAAGTGTACCGAGCAGAGTACGTAATATAACAGAATTTATTCAGCAGCGGACAAACTTCAGTTATTTGGCATAACGAGTTGCACTCAAACTTATATAGAAAAAAACCCCTCGACATTGCCGCAGGAGCACCCGTTCGTTCTTTGTTGTCCGTCCAGTCTTTGCATTGGATGAGTTCATAGTCGACTGCTCCCTTCGGCCCTGTGGCATCCACAAAGTGATCCCACTGAAAATGTGCTTATTAAGCATTTTTGGAAAGTTTTCAATTTCGTTAATGTTTTCAGCGCATTTTTCAGAACCCTCCCGAACTACTTTGTGCTCCGTCTGGCCCCTGTATGAATTTAAATTTATTGTTTTATTTTCGCTATGTTGCATATTGGCCAGTTACCAGCCACCAGCTGCCGGTTGCAGTTGCAGATGTAAGTGGTTTTCCCATTTAACTGGGTAACTGTGCACCAGAGTGCAGTCGGGTTAAGAAACTCACAACTGCGGCTCATGAATTATCGCCAAGTGGATTGGAACAGCAGACGATATTGCGAGTCGAACGCTTAAAAGTTTTTATTGAAAAGTGCGCACATCTGTTAATAATTTAAATTGCCTCTGCCAACAACATTAAGATGCGATTTTATACTCGAAAAATAAAAAGCATCAATACACAATACAATATGTTTAACTCTTTAACGAGTCTTCGATTAAATAATGAAAAGGATGTGGGCCAAAAATGGTCTATTTATGCGCCAAGAGTTTCTAATCCGAGAACAACTGCAGCATAATTTGTATACCTCTTATGCCCATTAAGAATGGGTAAAAGGGGTATAATGAAGTTGTGCAAAAGAATGTGACTGCCAGAAAAATTATCGAATTAAAGTATATATATATATTTTGGTTCAGGATAAAAATCCAATCTCGTTAATATCGGCAGACGCAACCATTTTCTCTATGCATGAGCAAGTGAGAGGGGGACAGCTTGATAATAATGTGTGTGTATTCTGTGCACTGCACGTTATCTTCAATCGTGTGTATACATACACACATACATATGTATATGTGTATGTATTGTAAGCCAATGAACTTCCTTAGGTGTGCACATAAGAAATGAGAGCACCTTCGCACCTGCTTACATTTGAGTGTGCCAAGCTTTTTAGTGTGAAATTTGGCAATAAAACTAGTATCATATATTAAATTATATAAATGGGTTCAGGTTTCTCGCAATTGAGTTCACAGGGCAACAGCATTCTTACTTGTTTTTTTTTTTGTAAACAGCAGTTATATAATAAATGATTAAAAATGTTTACATGAGTACATTTGTATTATTATCATTTTATTGACAGTTTAAAACCGCACTTGCACCTGCAAGCGATCATATTATATTAAGTATGTTATAATGCTCAGTTGCTAATCGGATTTATAACGAGGCTTAAGTCCGCATACATAAAGTTAATTAAATTATTTTACGCTACGCCTCCAGCTCATATAAGTATGCTTAACGAATACGTCGACGTTTTTCCAAAGTTAATAGGCTAGACTTTTGCATGAGTGCCCTAAAGGTCGCAACCTCTGATATTTCAAACTTTCTTAGGGGTCACAGTGTGCTGAAAACCGTACAGTTGCCATTTGAGATTGAAGGCAATCGCGTCTTGTTTTCTCATGTAATTAATGTGTATTTCAAATGATAATATTATGATTTTTATTTTTAAAATTCTTTGAAGTTTAATTTTATTTATCCTGTAGTTATTTATACACTGTGCAGGCAGTAATAAAAACAAGCACAATAAGTAAATTCATGGAGTGGAAGCTATAATTGCCTTACAGCCATTAAGCAGTCTAAGGTCGAGCAGAGTCACAACAAGCACATGAAAAGAAGGTGCGACTATAAGATACCCTCTAGACAGTAATCAATTATTTAAGATTAGCCAAAAGTTAACAAAACTTTGATAGCAAAAAAATAGATGTTTTTTTTTTTTTTGGTTAACATATATGATTTATGCATTATAATAAGTAATTTTGATATGTGTTACGTGTATCATTAGTTTGTGTTATATATATGAAGTTATGTTTACAAGCCTAATAATATGCCCAATTTCCTACATGCTCTTTTTGGCTCACAGAACAAAGTGAAATTGACGGCTTTGTTTACAATAGACTTTTATAGATGATTTGCGCAATATTTTAGGTTAAAAGAGTAATCCAATTATCTGCTAGACGAATCCAAAAATTGCATTTGACAGATATGAGCAGTAATTTTATTACACATATGCGTATCCAATTTGATGAGCAATTTTGAGCTATGAACAGAAACTGTTACAGTAAAATCTTAGGTCAGGTCTGTGTGAGTCTGCTGAATGCCTGGCATGAGTAACTTAAATTAAATCAAAAATTTATGAATGTGAAACAGACCAATACACACACTGAAGCAGACTTTCCCCTTGGGCTGTACTTACGTGTTCCCAAGTTGACAGCAGCCAGGACTATAAGAAGCCGGGTTGCCAGCCAGATGTGTTGCCAAGTAATCGTCCTGCTCGTGCGTACAAATTGGCGCCGATGCTTTTGCTGCTGCCTCTGCCGCTGCTGCTGCTGATGTCCAGCGACTGTTGCGAATGTCATCTTTGCAGTTGTCAACTTGCTGGCACTGTCACTTCTGCTTGTCCTGGCTGGGCTGACTGGGCTGGCTCTGCTGCTCGTGCTGTCTGTCTCGGCAGTCCCCGTGGCACAGTTCCTTGCAGTAATGACACTTACAGCATCTTTTGTACGCTCATTGCCTGCCGACTGTCGCCATTGGGGACTCGTTTGCGGCAGCATCGCCGCAACATTGTATCCAAGTGTTCGGCACGTTGCTGGCCTCAGTTTCTGATTGCAGTGCGCAGCTCTCTTGGCTGGCAAAGTTTTTCGCATTCTATGCGAAATGTGTCTATTCCCAGTTCAAGTCCCAGCCTCAATCCCAATTGCAGAGTCAGATAAATAGGTTTATTGAATTAATGCACTGGGGACTGGATTTGGTCTCGTTGTTTTCTTACTTCCGCTGCTTTTCACCGTATTTCGACTAGCTTTTATATGTGTTCCTTAGCCGGTTTTTTTTTGGGTCGTTATTTGACTTTAGAGCCACGCGCTTCCATTGATTCTCTTATTGATTCACCTTGTTCCAGTTACTGCCTTCACTCAACATTTTGTCTATTTTATTTTGATTTCCTTATATTGAAGCATTTTGTCATTCAGCGGTAATTTAATAACGTTATTGAGAATATAACAATACACTTGGAGAAACGTAGCTATGATTCTCTTATTAGTTGCCGTATTCCTTAAATTTTATTTTGCTTGCCAAGTTTTAATTAGTCTATTTTTGTTTCAGTTTATTTTACTTTCTTAAGATATTTAACTATTAAATGTCATATTTGCATAAAGTTCTTAAATTCCAATTGTACGAAGTTATCCTTTTTTTTCCGTAAATTACACTTACCATATGCCAAACTAGCACGAGCCGTATTTTGTCATGAATAATGGTTAAAGTTTTACACAAAGAGATCTCGCTAGTTGCTTAACAACTTTTTCGCATTAAAAAACCAATGGGACTCTCTTAAAATTACATATTGGGGTGAATATAATAAATTATTTTCTACATTTTATTATATTTTTATAAGCTAGACGCTGTCGTATTAACGTGATTTAACACGTGCGAAATTATTTACACTTGAGTAACAGTTTATCGCATAATCCGCATTGAAATTATTTATCAAGTTTGTCTTACATTATTATTTTTTTTTCTTCTTGGGCAAATATTTTGCCACTACGACACACAATAATCCCTTTTTTATGGCGTTGTGGCCGCCGCTTCAGCTTTACTGAACTTCCTTTTCATTTTTGTTTTGCTTGTTTTGTCTTTATCTTTATTTTCTTTTCTTTATTTTTTATTTTTTTATATTTTTTTTTTTATTTTTTTGGGCACTTCAGCGTCCTTTGCACATTTTGGTCGCCATTCTAATATCCATTTTAAAACAACAACAAAAAAACCACTTTCTAAAGTGATTTCAGCCAGATACAGATACACTTGGAAAACCAACACGCTGACTCAACCGTGGCACTCAGGACAGAACATCGAATAACAAACACACACCAAAAATGTCTTCAATGCGTTTCTGTTCTGTTCTGCTCTGCTCTGTTTTGTTGTTTTCCGTGCTCGGCCCTAAAATAACTTTACAATTGGTATTTTTGCTTTCGCTTAGCACCTAGTTGAGGCGCATTTCACCCACCGTCTCTACGCGCACATAAACAAAGGATTTTGCCAGACGCCGCCGCATCCTTGAAGCCGCGCACGACTTGAATTTCGAACCGCAGTTGAACACGGACAAGTTGGCTTCCGTTTGCCGTTGCTGTCAGCCGTTCTCAGCGTGTCACGTCCGCTCGCAAGGGATGCAAATTTTCAACTAAATCGCTTGTGCAACTAGCGCCAGGAAACTCGTGATTCCCCGCCGCTTCTGTTATCTGTCGAATGTCTGTCGTCTGTTCCGAATCCCAGCATCCGCATGCTGTGCACCACTCACGATTGCCTTAACCTCCTCTCCGTGTTTCATTTCGTTTCGTTTTGCTGCCATTCTGCTGTTTGCTGTGGAACAGTTGCTCCCCTTCGCATTGCCGGTTGTTTGATCTGCGCATGTCCATTCCGACTTAGCCATGATGAAATGGGGCTTACAGTAGACTTGACATTTATTAGCTGACTTTGTTAGCTAACAGTCGATTATACCAATTTTATATTGAGTTAATTTATTGAAATTATGTTGAATAAGTATCTCAAGAAAAGCGATCAGTTCCAAAAGGGAAAATATATAATGGCAGATGCATCATAACGATAAGAAAGAATTTGTATAAAATAATAAATAACAAGTCAGAAGAATAAGAAAATTCATATCAGGATTTTATTGATAAAATTATGGGGTGTACATAAGTACTATTATATGCAGCAAGTCTTTTTAAAATTTGAAGTAGATGGAAGCTTTGATTTTTGTTTTAAACTATTTGAAATATTATATAAATATTAAAATTCAACTGAGCTGCATTTTGAGTAGCGAGTATTCTTCAAATTCAAATTCAAAGTTGATTTCAGAATATTTCTTTTAATTTACTTAGAAACATGATAAGACTACGAAAATTGACAGTTTTAAGGCAATAGTAGACTTTGTCTTAAATCAAATGAAAGCTCAACAGATTAGTGTTGGCAACAGGAAACAGTTATTCGTTATTTGCACCTTATCAATGGGCTTTTGTGGCTTTTGTTATATTTGAAATGACATCGCTACAAATTGTCAGCTGTAAATCAAAGAGCAAACCACTTTACATTGGCGCCTTAAATTAACTTAGCATTTCGACTTTTGCAATCTTTTGCGGCGTCTTTGTCTTTTCGCCTAATTTACTGTGTGTCCTGCCACAAGAAGGATGCTGTGTGTGTATATCCTGCCACATATTCTGTGTGACAATAAAACTACGCAACGCCATTAAATCTGACCCAATATGCTAGGCGTGATATACGGCTCTGTTGCCCTAATCTTGTGTGCTTTTGTCAAAGAGCAAGTAACAAATAAATAAATATTATTGAACTTTTAAGTCCCCAGAGGACGTGGGACCAACATGCCGCCAGCACACCAGAGGTGAAGGAGAGAAGGGGGGCGGGGGTGTGGCGAATGGAAGTTTGGGGGTGAAAATGTGCGTTCTTACAAAGTGCCAGCATAAATTCTTGCACAGTTCAATTTATCGCGTATTGACACAGCTTCCGCATAAAAAACAAGAGCAACAAGAAAAGACGCTAAAAATATTTACAAAGTGTTGGCATTGTTGCGGGGATCGGGCATTGCATCCTCGCGAAAAGCCTGCGGGAATGCCTCACACACACACACACACACACACACACACACACACACACACACACACACACGCACACACGCACATACACAGATAGCAGCCAGCAGCTATTGTTATTACCTCTTTGCTGTGTTAACACACCATTTGTGGCATTTTCAGTCGATTCAAAGTGCTACTCACCACAAGAAGTTCTTGTGGCAGCGCCGTTAAACTTGAATTTGAAATGCAAATGATAGCGTTGCCACGCTTCAACATTATGCCTTTAAATGCTCAACTTTTTGGCTCAGCAAATTATCAAAATATACTTTATGTCGCACTTCGACTAACTGTGAAACGGATGCTGATGCCAAGGCTCATGAATTCGGCCCCGAAGGCAACACATGTTGTCAGACAATCTCTACCTCACCAACACACACACACACACACACACACAATTCACAGCTGTTAATTTGAGTGTTTCGCATTATGGGAGGAGCTCGTAAATTGCAAAATCTTTATGGCGTTGCTGGCCCCGTTTGTGTTGTGTTGAAATAACAACTACATTTTTATAAATACACATTAGAAATTCATGCCTTATGCGAATTGCGTATAAATCTGGAAGTTTTGATTGCTTTCATTTGGAGCACTGTTGATGCAGCTTATCAAGTTATTTTGCACATCTTACGTCATCAATCGCAAGGACTTTAAGAGAAACACTCATTTAATTTTGCGCCCAGGCTGTGTTAAGTCAAACACGACTCGCATTTATCATATTATTCCATATATTTTCAGAAAAACTTTGAAACAGTTGTGTTAATCATATACTTATCCTTTTTTATAGTATCTATCAGGTAACTCAGGCTTAAGTGCAATTGTCTCAATTTGGAAATAGTTGTGCTCTTAAGCATGTGATCTTAAAGCATGAACTTAATTACTCGAAGGAAGATATGTGCTGCTGATGACAAGTTTCCCAATTTGCTTAAGCAAACCTCAAAAATGTTATGGACTGCAACATAATTTAATTTAATGAATGCACCTCGATATTACTACACATGTGTAACAATGCTATAATTGAGACACCTCAACATGAAAATACGTTTTGGTTACTATAATATGTGTTTCTTATACGAATCCTAATGCAATTTTTAAAGTTAATCATAAGCATGTCAATACATATTTTATATTAACTTAGAAGCTATATCTTTACAATTAGAAAATCTCTTATTATCGGAATTTTAATTTGATTAATATTCGGAAAACGGGTGCAATTAACTTGATCTGCGAATGGTATACGAGAACTTATTTGCCAAATTTGAAATCTCTAGCTCTTATAGTCATTACAAATCTGCTTGTTCATATAGACGAACGAGGCTAAACACTGTTGTTGAAGCTAATCAAGGGTATATGTACTTAATGGGTTTGGACATGTTTCATTCCGCTTGCACAACTTTATTATACCCTTTCTTCGCCTTATGTAATGGATGTAATGGATTCACGGTATAGAACGGCAACTGTCAAATAGAAACAGCATTAGGTACACGCGATGCCACAATACTGCCAAATTGCGATCAAGAAAAACACATTTATTTTTTTAACATATATTCGCACGAATAGCTGCAATTACGTAGATACTTAGCGAACGCTTTTTGCAGCAGATGCAAATGTAACCCAGATATGTTCCCATTGTAGTCACTGTTTACAATATGCGTATATATAAATATATATATATATATATGTGTGTGTGTGTGTGTGTCTATCTATATTGTATTGTACGGTTTCACTTACTTTCCTTTAAAATGCGAATTGCAGATGTACTTGAATGCAGCCAATCTTTCCGAAGGCAACTGATTCGATGGCTGAATGAACACATTGAGCTATGTATCGATATATATATATATATATATATATATATGTGTGTGTGTGTGTGTATAGAGCACTTGAACTTGTGTCGGGTTGCTCAAGCGAGGAAGAGATATAGGTAGATAAACGGCAAGAGATGGCTAGAGATAGGTTAAAGGATTCGCTTTGGGTTAAGCGAGCTGCTGGAGAACTGTTAAGCAAAATGGATGAGCGCTGCAATTAAAAGTAAACAAAAACGCGTAATCGAATGCCATTCAAATAACAATTGACAATCGAGAACTGCGTTGAAAATGATGTAACACTTTGGCCGTTTAGAGCGTTGCTTGTCGCATCCTTTGCATCCTTTGCATACTTTGTGTGAGTTTGTTGCGTTTACTTTTTGCTGTTTGCCTTTGCTATTGCTATTTGTTGGTCTCTGCCCTTTGTGCACAGCCTTCGCTGTAAATAGCTTTAAGAGTAGGGGAATTAACGGTAAATATAATTACATTGCCACTCGCCCCCATAGATAATGATACCCGATTAGGTCGGGTTCGCCAACGGACCCGCACCTTAATTCCCTCTTTAATGCTCGTCGTGTGTCTAATTAGTGTAAATTGCCGCTCATAATCATAACTGTAAAATTAATATAAATTCTCAGTTTTGTAATAGATGCAACACCCACCCTTCGAATAGCAAAATCCCCCATCCACCCACAACCCCGCCCAGGCAGCCACAAATTGAAGCAACGCGCCGCAACGCGCCGCAACGCGTGCGAAAATTAATTGGCTTTTATGCTGTTTTTGGTTAGCTGCAGATTCACGTGACAAATTGCAGCTAATTTATTTGAGATTTGAGCAGTCTTTGAGTGCGTAAGTTGGTGTCGCTTACGAGCCATTTGTTGACATTCACTTGATGCATTCCTATGCGAACTTTAGCCATCAACTAAAGTACAAAGCAACGCAGTGACCTCTGCTCATAATTAAATCTGCTACAAGTCAGTCTCAGAAGCAGAAGTAAATAGTCTACTTAATGTTGCCCACGATGATGTTCAGGCACTTTACTCTTCAGCCAGGCAGTCAGGCAGCCAGCGAGCCAGAAAAAGGCTGAACCCGAAAAAAATTTGATGTTATTTATTTTAATTTGCGAGC